CTGGGACTGTTAGGAGCAACTGGTCCGCTGATCTGAGAGAACGTGGTGGGACATACGGCTGGAGCAGATCAGTAAGATAGGAGGGGGCAGAGCTGTTTAGTGATTTATAGACATACAAGAGTATTTTGAATTTCATTTGAAGGTGAACCGGAAGCCAGTGTAGGGAGGCCAAAACAGGTGTAATGTGCTTTCTTTTGGTTGTGCTGGTCAAAAACCGGGCTGCTGCATTTTGGACCAGTTGGAGTCTAGCTATGGAGGTCTGACTGATACCAAAAAGGAGTGAGTTGCAATAGTCGAGCCTGGATGTAATGAATGCATGAATTACTGTCTCCGGGTTATTTTTGGACAATATGGGCTTCAGCTTAGACAGTCGCCTCAGCTGGAAAAAGCAGGATTTGACAATCATATTTACATGATTGTTGAGTTTCAGAGAAGGGTCAAGTATCACTCCTAGATTAGTGACTCTTTGTTTCACTAACGGTGACAGAACGGATAGGTCGATGCAGTGGTTGGTGATTGTGTCATTGGGAGGAAACAGCATTACTTCAGATTTCTTCTCGTTAAAACTCAAGAAATTTAAAGCCATCCAATCTCTGATGTCAGCCAGGCAGTCCAGTAACAGTTGAATAGAGCGAGTACCGTTGAGTCCGAGGGGGAAGTAGATTTGGCAGTCGTCGGCGTAGAAATGAAAAGGTATGTTATGTTTCCTGAAAATAGCACCTAGTGGCAACAGGTATAAAGAAAATAAAAGAGGACCAAGGATGGACCCTTGCGGTACCCCCCATTTAAGCGCTGCCGAGGCTGAACTAAAATCTTTGATGGAGACACAAAAGGACCTGTCAGCGAGGTAAGATCTAAAGTTCGAGGGCTGACCCAGTGATGCCCACCCACTGCTCTAACCTCGCAATGAGGATCTCGTGGTCGATTGTATCAATTAGAGCAAGATAATGGAAGGATGGAATTATTATTCATTTATTTATTTAATTTGGTCACATTCCGCCCTCTGTATGGTTCCCTGAAATGTTCCCGTTGCCTTGTGGCGTTGGCAAAAAGTTGTATCAGGGCTTTTATTGTGAAAAACTCAACCGGAAGCACGGATCGTGTAAGCTAACTAGCCGCTTCAGCTAAAGATGTTTTCTTCAGACTCTGATCTAACGTGGCTCATTTGTTTATTTAAAGTGTTTTGACGCACTCTTCGAACATACCGAGCCCGAACCTGCAAAGTAGCAGAGACGTCGTTTATATAAAATTATTTTGAGAGACTACTTTTGTTCGGAGGGAAAAATCCATGCTGAGGTTGGTCGACATGTCTATTGTCTGTGAAGCTAGTCGAGTTAGCGAGCCGCGGAGTGGGTTTCAGAGGAATGTGGTCATGTTTTTAACATGAATCTCTCAGATGTTGCTGAACACAGACTGTAGTTTGGGTGTGGGTCAGTGTTTGCTGGTAGTAACCAGCTGGTTAATCATCTTCCAGAGGAGGTGGTCGATGACCAGATCGGTGGACAGTTCATCTACAGCTCATTTACCGTTAGCTTCAAGTGCTTGCGTTTTTAAAATCATTGTAGTCCTCGTAGTCCACAGCTCTGTAAGTTAGCGTGCTAACTAAAACACAGTTTACACGACAATTAAAAGCAAAATGAGACCTAAGCTAATGAGTTAGCAGTGCTTTGAGCTGTGTATCTGCTGATCCCCCCCCGCCCCCCCCAAAAAAAATAAAATAAATAAAATCACCTGAAAGAATCAGAATGCACAGCACACATTTCCAGGATGTTATAAATACCACGCCGAATAAGCTGTGTCCTCAACATCCTCTGCTTCAGTGTCCTTGAGCAGGACATATGTCCTCCAGGGTGGGGGTGCCAAGTGTGTGACATTAAAATCAAAACGGGGTGAATCTCCTTGAAATCAGCACCTCGCCTTGAGATGACCCATACATAGTGACATATGAATGTATGCAACGTTTTCCCACAAACTTTAACCTAAAGTCAGAACAATAAGCACAAAAATGATACTAGAGGATAAAATCAAGTGCAGTACAAAGGTTTTAAAGTACTACTTTCTTTATACTTTGGGTCCTTGGCATCAGACTTTATTATACACCTTCAAAGTGATACTAATTTATAATTCTCCTGGATTTCTAAAGGTCTTTTGGAGATTTTTGGTGGAATTTGACTGCATTTTTCCGGTACTCATTTTCTTCTGTCTAGTCCTTGTCCTGACCAACTTATAAAGTGCTATATGTTGTTGTCATTGTATGGGAACATACAATGATGAAACTGGTTCTCTGCATTTAACCCATCGCCCCTGGGATACACCCAGTTGGAGAAGTGTGCGCTCGGGGAGCAATTAGGGATTAGGTGTCTTGCTCAGAGTCACGACATGTGGGAACGGCTGGGAGTCGAGCTGCGACTTTCTGGTCCCAAGTCGACTGCCCTTCCTCTACCCCGTCTCGGCCCCTCATTAATATTATCTGATTACCGAATGACGAAAGTGGACAAGTGACAAAAGACGTATCAGGCCTGAAAACTATCCACAGCCGATGAGCAATATTTAAAAGACTTTTAAATAAAAAAAAAAAAAAAAAAAAATAAGTAAAGATCAGATGCAGGACCTTAGAGATCATCTTTTACTGTACAGTGGTGCCTGAAAGGTTGTGAATCCTTTAGAAACATCAGATTTTCACACGTCCTAAAAGTAGACAACGAGAACCCAGTTAAACAAATAAGACAAAAATATTTTACTTGGTCATGTAGTTCTTGTGGAAAATGCTCCAGTATTACATATCTGTGAGTGGCAAATGTATGTGAACCTTTGCTTTCAGTATCTGGTGTGACACCCCCCCAGGACTTTGACTTGGCCATTCCACAACATGAACTTTATTCTTCTTGAACCATTGTTTGGTAGAACCACTTGTGTGTTTAGGGTCATTGTCTCACTGCATGACCCACCTTCTCTTCAGATTCAGTTCATGGACAGATGTAACATTTTCCTTTAGAATTCTGATATAATTCAGAATTCATTGTTCCATAAATGATGGCAAACCATCCTGGTCCAGATGCTGTAAAACAGGCTCAAACCATGATACTACCACCACCGTGTTTCACAGATGGGATAAGGTTCTTATGCAGGAATGCAGAGTTCTCCTTTCTACAAACATAACTCTTTCATTTAAGCCAATAAGTTCTATTTTGGTCTCATTCGTCCACAAAACATTCTTCCAATAAACTTCTGGCTCGTCCACGTGCTCTTTAGCAAACTACAGACAAGCAGCAATGTTCTTTTTGGAGAGCAGTAGCTTCTCCTTCAACCCTCCATTGTTGTTCAATGTTCTCCTGATGGTGGACTCATGAACATTAACGTTAGTCAAGAGAGAGAGGCCTTCAGTTGCTTAGAAGTTATCCTGGGGTCCTTGGTGACCTCGCAGACTATTACATGCCTTTCTCTTGGAGTGATCCTTGTTGGTCCATCACTCCTGGGGAGGGTAACAATGGTCTTAAATGTCCTCCATTTGTACACAATCTGTCTGACTGTGGATTAGTGGAGTCCAAACTCTTTACAGATGTTTTCTAACCTTTTCTATCCTGATGAGCATCAACAACTCTTTTTCTGAGGTCCTCATGAATCTCCTTTGTTCGTGTCATGATCCACTTCCACAAACATGTTGTGAAGATCAGACGCTGATAGATCCATGTTCTTTAAATCAAACAGGGTGTCCACTCACACCTGATCGACATCCCATTGATTGAAAACACCTGACTCTAATGTCACCTTCAAATTACAGGTTCACATGAAATAAAGGGTCACATACTTTTGCCACTCACAAATATGTAATATTGGATCATTCTCCTCAATAACTAAATGACCAAGTATGATATTTTTGTCTCATTTGTTTAACTGGGTTCTCTTTATATAGTTTTAGAACGTGTGTTTGAATCTGATGACGTTTTATTTAGGTCATATTTATGCAGAAATATAGAAAATTATGAAGGCGTCACAAACATTCAAGCACCGCTGTATGTTATGTTTACAGCTAACGACACTTAGGGAATCGTCTTGTGGTTTTCTGTCTGTGTCAAGCTGTGATATTTTTTAGCTTTTTTCTTCATTTTAACTGATGACAAGAAAACAAACGGGGTTTTTGTTTAATGTAGAAAAAGAGCCCTTTAAAAGTCTTAGGTTAGAAAATATTGTTCACAGAATATTGTTCATGTTAACCCTTTAAAAAGTCTTGTTTAAGAGCAAATGTGTTGCTTGCGTTGAAAAGATGCACTATTGTTTAAAATATCTGGAAAACCACACTTTTTTTTTTGGACACTTGTCACCGTCACTTCTTTATGACTGTGAGAAGGACTGTGAACTTATTAGGTTATGCGTGGGAAAGTTGGACGTTGCTGATTGCACTTGAAGAAGTTTTTACATTTGAAATGGCCATAAAACTGTCTTGCTGGCCTTAAATATCAAAAACAGGAGGCATTCCATAAATACAGGTCCAAAGCAGTTGAGTACATGTAGCTGGTTTTTGTACTGTAGTTTATGTACATTATTTTGTTTAGCATGAGACTGAACAACTTCTGTATTATTATTAAAAAAAACATCAGAACTCTGTTTACTCAGTTACCTGTTTTCACTGTTAAAACTTAAAAAAAAAAAAAAACCTTTTTATATTTGCTAGAGCCGGATTCTGATCTTGCCAATTTCTCTTAATCACTGGCTTGGTTGAGGTTTGTAATCCACTGAAAAAGAGCAAATTATTTCGATCTTCACACATTTTTCTTTACAGATGTTTACCCACATATTTTCAGTCATTTTGCAGTTTGTATTGTTACGTGCAGATAACGATAAAAGGTTAGTTTTTTTTTTGTTGTTATGTATTGTTATTGTCTTTTTACTGAAACATTGTTCTTTGCTTTCTTACCAGTTTGTATATTTGAGAGATGTGCTCTGAGAACCCAGACGACTTTGGACTTGTTGCTGAAGATCAGCAGGAAATCAGAGGCCTAATAAACTCTGATGGTGAAGAAGTGGACTTCTACGATCCCAGTGAGTGAAGTGTTTTGTGGTGGTCTTTTCTTAATCCTTGAGACTCGCAGTCCCAATTAGAGAACAACTTATCTCATTATTATGGTATTTGTCAATAAATAGAATCAACAAAACTGACTCTATCCAACACAATACATTTCCTTCATGATTTATGTATAAAAACATGATATAAAGTACGTAGATGCATTCTCATTTGAATCCCATTACAGTATATTAGTTATTTAGAGTGATTATATCTTTTTGCTTATTTACAGTCTTGATACTTAAATTTATTGTAGGTAAATTATGATAGAGAATATTAAAACTCCATGTTATTTTTGTTGAAAAATATGTTTTTCTCTGGTTTTTGTCAATAATGTGTATCTGAGGAATGGATAGGTAAGTCAGGTTAAATTATGTAAATTTGCAGAAACATTGTTATTGTCGCAACCGTCTTTATTGTTTTTCTTTTTGTTTTACCCTTGCATCTGGTAGTGACACGCCAAATTGTTTCCTAACGGTGCTTTTTTTTGCCACGACACCATGAAATGAAAAAATAAAAAAATAAAAATTAGATCATCCTACCGTTTGTGTCTGCCATTGTAGTTTATTCTGAAAGGATTATAAAGTGGAATCTGTAATCACAGGTGAGCTCAGCTTTACTGCCAGAATTTGTGTGTGTCCCGCCATGTTCATTCTTTGAACTAGTAAGACAGAAAGAGACTAAGAAGATCCCAGGCTAGCAGATTTTCCAGTAGTACACACATCTCTTTACCCAAAGCCTCAGTTTTGATTATTTGAAGAAAACCTGTATAACCGATAATTACAGATGAATTCAAAGAACATTTTTGCCTTAAATCCCAATCTTTAGTGTTCTTGTTAATTTATTGTAATTGTATTTCAGCATTTTAATTTAATGTTTGTTTGTCCTGTTAGCAAAACTTTTTGGTTTGGAGAGAAGCTGAGAAGCTAAGCTACGAGCTAAGCTAACAGGTCGGCCTCGGGGAAAAAAACCTCAGTTTTGTCAAAGCTCCAAAATTCATGGTTGAATCCCGTACCTTTGTCTTAAAAGTTGTTTGTCTCTGCAAATAGAAGCTGAGAACTTGATTACTGATGATTTTTTTTTAATTAAAAGCTTTGTGTGACAAATGCTATGCTAAAGAGCTCAAATCACACCGAACATCCACCATTTTGAGAACTAAAGAGAGAAAGCTCATGACACGTCAAGGGGCCTCCCTCCCATTTTCTTAAAGAGACACACTGCTCGCTCCCTCACTATCTGTCCTTCAGCTCAAACAGTCTTATTCTGCCATTCAATGGTCAAAAAAGGTACTACACACAAACTTAATCAAAATTTCTTCTTAAATTTGACATTACTAATTATTGTAAAATTTCAAACAATATTATCGTTTATCGCAATAATTTCTGAGACAATTAATCGCTCAGCAAATTTTTTTATCGTGACAGGCCTAACTGATTGTACCAAACCTGTTTTTAGTCCTTAAAGCTAATTGTGATTCTTTGTGTTCACACAGGAGTGAATGTTATCTCTGGCATCATACCTGCAGAAGCTCCCTCAATGAAATTTAATATCAGTGAGCATGAAAGACCACAGTCTGTGCACACCTGCTTGGTGTGTGGTAAAGACTTCCCTTATGCCTCGAAACTTCAGCGGCACCTACGTACTCATTCAGGAGAGAGGCCTTTCCCCTGTTCCATGTGTGAAAAGAGATTTCCAGAAAAGGGGCTTCTCATAATTCATCAGAGAGTTCACACCGGGGAAAAGCCATTCCCATGCACTTTCTGTGAGAAAAGATTTGCCAGTCAGGGGGAGCTCCGGCTGCACCGGCGGACACACACTGGGGAGAGGCCCTATCGCTGCACCATCTGTCTGAAGAGCTTTTCCCGCCACTGGCACCTGAAAACGCACTTGGAGGCAATGCACTCTAAGGTTGTAGCAGGTTTCACCAGGAAGAAGTTTCCTTGTTCGAATTGCAGCAAGAGCTGTAACTCAGCTGCCGAGCTGAGGGATCATCAGAGGACTCACACTGGGGAGAGGCCCTTCCAGTGCTCCTTCTGTGACAAATGCTTTGCGTTGTCGGGGACACTTGTTAGACACGAGCGTCTCCACACAGGTATTACACCGTACCACTGCTCTGACTGTGGCAAGACGTTTGCACAGCAGTGGACGCTGACCACGCACATGCGAACTCACACAGGAGAAAAACCCTACAGCTGCACGCAGTGTAAAAAATCTTTCGTCGCTCCGGGGGAACTTCGGAGGCACTCCAGGATACACACTGGAGAAAAGCCGTATACCTGCGCAGACTGCGGAAAGCACTTCTCGTTAGCAGGAACGCTCAGGAATCACAAGCGGTCATGCATGCAGAGCAAGGATGAGTCTGTTCCTGGTGTTGAATCAACTGGAGTTCAGTCTTCAGCGGAAGAATCATCCCAGCAAGACGAGGCCAGCAACGTCAGCTGTGAGGTAGAGACATTAAACAGTGGCCTCAAATTAAAACCTTGCTTTTATATTAGCTGAGTTGCCTCAGGTTATTCTTATGAAACTTTATTTATAGGTATCCGACAGCCAAACCCTTCCTAGTGCCGCTGGGCCCCTGTCCTCACAGGGTCTAAACTGTGTCAAAGAAGCTCAGCCCAAAGTTGTTAAGAGAGAACCAGTCGATCATTTGGAGGACAGCTGTTCCTCTTCCCACATGAATGTAATAGTGAAAGAGGAGGAGGAGGAGGAATTTTTGTCTGGTAAGTAAAAACCACCACACCAACACGCCTTTCCGATTCCATTCTCAGTCTGTGCTCGGTGAAGGAATAACTCAGACCTTTTTAAATGGGTTTCTGTAGCGTTTACAGCTGCCAGAACAACTGGGTGAGTCTTAACTAACTGGTGCTCTAAACAGAGCCAAGTTAAAAGAGAATTCTCATCATCATCTAAATAAAATTACCTCAACCACTCCACAGAAACCTATTTACCAAAATGTATAAATCCCTTGAAAGAATGGTGTGTATATCAACTGTTTACCTTTTCTGTTGTGATTTTTTATTTTTTTTTACAGAAGAAACTTCTGACAAAAGTTTTGCTGGCGACGACAGCACCACGCAAGAGGAAGCTGAAGACCAGCTGCAGGAATGTAACACAGATATTGAGATTAAAGTGAAGGAGGAAGAAGAGGAAACTGCAAACCGTAAGAAAATTACCTTACAGTAGATGCTAATGTTAGTTATTGCAGTGTGTTACTGAATCTATACTACTGGCCAATAACTGGGATCAAATGTAATATTAAATTGGCCCTGGTGAAGCAGTGTATTGAATGACTGATATACTGAGAGGCAGCAGTAGGCACAACTAACCAAAATGTCAGCTTCTCTAACTGCTAATTCACAAACTAAAAAAAATTAACTTTGCTAATGAGAAACAGGTAAAAAAAAAAAATTAGTGGAAGCTAACATTTGATAACCGCTAACTTTTATCATTCATTGCTGTCGCTGACACTGTAAGACTGTAACGTGACACCGTTGTGAGCGAACACAACTGAAAACGGTTCATAAATCATAGGTAAAGCGTCCCATGTCCCATTCAGAGGTTAGCTTTCAGAAATTAATCCGATTCAGCGGGATCAAAAGAGGTGGGTCAGGATTCTGCTCTACTGAACTAGAGTGATGTATTCAATGTGTGTCGGACGTCTCGTGTCATTTACTATAATGAATTAACACTTTAGCAATCTTCTGTGCAGTTAACTATTTTTTAAACTAACTACAAAGTTTCTGTGCATCATCATCGTTATTCTCTTGGTAACACAAAATAAATAGAGGATGCACAGAACAGAGTGAGATGGGGGAGGATAACATGCTGTGGTGATCCCTGAAGAGGGAAAAGCCGAAAGAAGAAGAAGAACACATAAATAAATGTGGTTTTTAAATTCTGTGAGCAGGTGGTCACAACTCTTATCATCAGTTCATCAGTTAAGATAACAGACCTCCGTGCACCGCGAGGAAGAGAAAAATAGACCATCACTGCATGAAGAGTGCGTCACTTTTCGACTTGTGTTTCTACTCTGGAACCCAATTTAGCGGAGGCTAATTAGTCTGCTAATGGTGTCCAAAATGAGCAAAAATGCTCCAAAGTCCATGCAGACCAAAGTCCATGCTCAGTAATCTAGGTATAAAATTCAACAATTTTCATTCAGTCAGGTCATCTGGACAGTTTCTTTTTATTAATTTATTTTGTGCAGAAGGCTTCATCAGTCTGAGGAAACACCAAACAAAACTGATTCTCCCCCAACAGCTTACTCCAAAGTGGAAAAAACAAACAGTTATGTTGGTGCTAAGATGGTCTCTGGGGCACGCCCCCTCCTCCGGTACCTGTCCTCTCCCTCGTCGACAGTCTTGTCAAACTGGTTCAAAACACCAAAGTCCATGCTCAATAATCCAGGTATAAAATCCAACAATTTTCAGTCAGGTCATCTGGACGGTTTCTTTTTTTTTTTTTTAGATGATTAGCAAAAATGCTAATCATCTAAACGAAAAGTTAGTTTCGCTATTAGCTGTTAGTGGATTAGTGAACTGTGCCCATCACTACTGAGAGGGTTTTTTCTGTACATTAAGCAATTTGGTTCTTCCTATGACCAGTGCCAATGTTTAGAGATTGGAGCAGCTGTTTTTCGCTTTTTTTATGTTTATTTATTTATTTTTTAATCTGTCAAAAAAAGTATTTAACTTACTTGTTTTGGAAACATCAAACACCAGAATGGCATTCTAGTTTAAGTTGTGCACTGGTGTGTATTGCTGTGGCTTGTGCCGCATCTATATTTCCCTGCTTGATAATCAATGTAAAAGTAATGGTCGATTATGTACAGGTCCTTCTAAAAAAATTAGCATATTGTGATAAAGGTCATTATTTTCCATAATGTAATGATAAAAATGAAACTTTCATATATTTCAGATTCATTGCACACCAACTGAAATATTTCAGGTCTTTAATTGTTTTAATACTGATGATTATGGCATACAGCTCATGAAAACCCAAAATGCCTGTCCCAAAAAATTAGCATATCATGAAAAGGTTCTCTAAACAAGCTATTAACCTAACCATCTGAATCAACGACGTAACTCTAAACACCTGCAAAAGATTCCTGAGGCTTTTAAAAACTCCCAGCCTTGTTCATTACTCAAAACTGCAATCATGGGTAAGACTGCCGACCTGACTGCTGTCCAGAAGGCCATCATTGACACCCTCAAGCAAGAGGGTAAGACACAGAAAGAAATTGCTGAACGAATAGGCTGTTCCCAGAGTGCTGTATCAAGGCACCTCAGTGGGAAGTCTGTGGGAAGGGAAAAGTGTGGCAGAAAACGCTGCACAACGAGAAGAGATGACCAGACCCTGAGGAGGATTGTGGAGAAGGGCCGATTCCAGACCTTGGGGGACCTGCGGAAGCAGTGGACTGAGTCTGGAGTAGAAACATCCAGAGCCACCGTGCACAGGCGTGTGTAGGAAATGGGCTAAAGGTGCTGCATTTCCCAGGTCAAGCCACTTTTGAACAAGAGACTGCGTCAGAAGCATCTCGCCTGGGACTGCTGCTGAGTGGTCAAAGTTATGTTCTCTGATTACAGTAAATTTTGCATTTCCTTTGGAAATCAAGGTCCCAGAGTCTGGAGGAAGAGATGTGACACACAATTCACATTGCTTGAGGTCCAGTGTCAAGTTTCCACAGTCACTGGGGTGTCATGTCATCTGCTGGTGTTGGTCCACTGTGTTTTATCAAGCGCAGGGTCAATGCAGCTAGCTATCAGGAGATTTTGGAGCACTTCATGCTTCCATCTGCTGAAAAGTTTTATGGAGATGAAGTTTTCATTTTTCAACACGTCCTGGCACCTGCTCACAGTGCCAAAGCCACTGGTAAATGGTTTACTGACCATGGTATTACTGTGCTCAATTGGCCTGCCAACTCTCCTGACCTGAACCCCATAGAGAACCTGTGGGATATTGTGAAGAGAAAGTTGAGAGACGCAAGACCCAACACTCTGGATGAGCTTAAGGCTGCTATCGAAGCATCCTGGGTCTCCATAACACCTCAGCAGTGCCACAGGCTGATTGCCTCCATGCCATGCCGCACTGAAGCAGTCATTCGTGCAAAAGGATTCCCGACCAAGTATTGAGTGTATAACTGAACATGATTATTTGAAGGTTGGTGTTTTTTGTATTAAAAACACTTGTCTTTCATTGGTGGGCTGAAATATGCTAATTTTTTGGGACAGGCATTTTGGGTTTTCATGAGCTGTATGCCATAATCATCAGTATTAAAACAATTAAAGACCTGAAATATTTCAGTTGGTGTGCAATGAATCTGAAATATATGAAAGTTTCATTTTTATCATTACATTATGGAAAATAATGACCTTTATCACAATATGCTAATTTTTTGAGAAGGACCTGTACAACGTAACAAATATCCACTGATCAGTTGTCCTGTCTTTACTTCCATGATGGCTTTGTTATTGTTGGGCAGCACCATGGCTTAGTGTGGTTATCACTGTTGCCTCACAGCAAGAAAGGTTGAGGGTTTAACCCCGGGATTTTTCTGTGTGGCGTTTGCATGCTCTCCTTGTTTGCATGGGCTTTCTCCGGTTACTACTGTTTCCTCCTACTGCCCAAAATATTTGTTTAGGCTGCCTTTAGGCTCAGGCCACCCTTGAAAAAGAGATTTTTAATATCAATGGGATTTGCCTAGTTAAATAAATGTTAATTAAAAAAATTGTTTCATTAGTTTTATTTATTTTCCTAATACACAAACACCTTGTACACTTAATTTCAAAGTTTCCACAACATATATTTTTATTTGAATAGCTAAACATAAAGTCAATGTCACATTTAGGTAAAAGGTGAATATTATATCTAATTAAAGCAAGTGGTAGACTGCTGTTATTTGTTCTAATTGTCACCCATAAAAGTTTTTTCTCTTTTTCTTTCCTCTCATAGTGTCGGGAGACGAGCCTGATGCAGTCACAGACTATGGAAAAGATAATCTTCAAGAATCACCAGTCCAAAAACAGTGCAACAACAATCCGACAAAGAGCTCTTACTGCTGCGGGCTGTGTGGAAGAGACTGCCACAAGATGTCAGCACTTCAAATCCACATGCGAATCCACTCTGGTGAGAAACCATACCAGTGTACAATGTGTGGGAAACAGTTCACACAGAAAGGTCAACTAAAAGGGCACTATAAAGTCCACACAGGTGAAAAGCCGTTCTCCTGCCCTGACTGTGGTAAGAGCTTTGCCCACTCGGGCGCCATGAACAGACACAGACTCACGCACACGGGGGAGAAACCTTATAACTGTTCAGTGTGTAACAGGAGCTTCAACCAGTCCGGCCGCCTGAGGGAACATGAGAAAATTCATTTTGGGGAGAAGTTTGACTGTCCAGAGTGCGACAAGAGTTTCACTCGCTCGTCGAGTCTCAAGAATCACATTAGGCTTCACACAGGTGAGAGGCCGTACGGCTGCGACATCTGCGGGAGAGGCTTCAGCCGCTCGCAGAGCCTGAGGCTTCACAGACGAAAGCATGGGCAACTTAACACTGACCCAGAGTCTTCAGTCTCTATGGAGAATGAAGACTTCTCCCAGAGTGACAACAACTCTCCAATTAATATGTGCATTACAGACAAACATGACAATGACACATTTACATAACTAGATAAGTATCTGTTACTCAATACAAGTTAAAAGTAAGGACGTACATCGATGAATAGATTAACAAACATACGTGGTGCTTCACATGAAAGGTATTAAACTTTTTGTATTGTTCAGAGTAGTTAATAAATAGAAACATGACAAGTAATTTCCAGCAGCTAGCCTTGCATTTAAACTATATGATCACATAAATATTCAGAGCAAACGCAAGTATTAGAAAATCTGTAACAGCCAGAGACGATGAGGTCTTACTCTGATTAATCATTCTCATGTTAGATATGTTGAACTGTTGCATTTATGTTGAAAGTAATACAATTTAAGGTATGTGATTTTACTTTGTTGATGCAGTATTTGTCATTGAATTGTATATATGGGCCTAATAATTGTTTTTGTTTTGCTATGGTGGGCATCAAACAGTTTTAACAATCCAGTAAGAATTGTTCATCCTCTGAGGAAACTACCAAGTGATCAAAAATACATTGTTACATGTGTCAAATACTACAGTAATGCCTTGATTAGAAATTTTGACTAAAAAAATTGTCTTCTACGACCATGATCCAATAAGGAAATGATTTTTTGTAGATGGTAAATATAACTGTATGAGATGTGTTATGCTGAACAATAAAATATTAAACATTGTGTTGTTTGTCATGACTAAAGGAGTGGGAGATTTTGCTGTTCTCTGAAATTATGTTGCATTATAGGGGAACATAAATGAAATGTAGGTCTGGAGGGAATCTGGTTTAGTGTCCGAATGTAACTTCAATTGTAACAGCTGCTGGATCTTGTTTGTTTTGTCATGGACAAAAAAAAAACAACAAAAAAAAACAACTCAATTTTGTTTTATTTATCAAGCATATTATGACCCATAGCCAGAGTTTACTCTGATTTTTAAGGGTGCGCAAGCGTCGCAAAAAAACTACAATTAGGTGAGGTTTCCTAATTCTCGAACTTTACATCATTTACCAAACGTGTTTTTAAAGATGGACTAAACAGTGACTGGGCCAAATAAACCATTAATCAACTGAGTCTTGATTTTATTTTTATTTTTTTTGCATGCGAAAAATCAAATTAAGTGAGTTGCAACTCCAAATACACTGCTTTTATTTTGAAATTGTCTTTTAATTTTGAAGTGTCATGGAGGATTTTTTTTTTTTGGGGGGGGGGGGGGGGGGCAGGCTCCACACCAGCACACAGTGGAAATCCATTTTTGCCACTTTGATTAGCAAAAATTCCCTCCAACTCAAAATTATGGGTTATGAGATGCAAAGTCATATTTTTACATTCACAGAGTGACTATTGACTGTTTCCATTCTTGTATGTTCACCTCAAACGGGTCTCTTCAGAATGAGAGCTTATGTCTCTGAGATTAAATGTATTGAATAAATGTGAAATAAAATCAAAATATTATGAGATCACCAAGTGATAATTTTTAGATTATTTCTTTATTGAGTAGTCTTTAAATTGTCACTAAAGATGTCTCATAATTAGGACACATGCTTGCTCAGGATGAGAATCTGCGATGAAGTTGGACTCAAAGCAGTCTGCTCTGATAAAATATTAACTTACTTTATATATATATATATATATATATATATATATATATATATATATATATATATATATGTGTGTGAATGTTTATGTTTAGTGCCCTAAGATGACTTCTGTTGTGACTTGGTGCTATATAAATAAACTGAATTGAATTGTATTTCATATTCATTAGAGATCTCAAGTAATATTTTTGACATAGTATCTATTATAGTAGTTTTGGATAACCAAGTCATATTTTTGAGATAGTACCCCCTAATTATGATGTGCTATGTCATATTTATGAAAGAGCCTAGCATAATTTTGAAATAGTCACATCAATTCAGCTTATATATCGCCAAGTCACAACAGAAGTCATCTCAGGGCACTGAACAAAAACATTACATTTAAGCATTGCAACATAATTGCATTTGAATATTTTTTTAAATCATAGTTAAGCTTCTTTAGATTACAAACACGTTACACAAATGTGGTATGTAATTACAGTGTTCCAATTTCTTGTTTAAAAATTTCCATAATTGTAGAACCCAAATGTTTTGAGACTGTTATGACCGCTTCAGGCCACCGTAGATGCAACGACGAGATGTGTTTATTGACGGTGGTAATTTGTAAAGATAACATAAACTTAATCGTAATTCTTTATTTCGTAGTTATAAGTCACGTTTCAGTTAATGTGTCATTATTATTTAGATTAGTATAACTATACCAATACGAGCATTTTATTTTAGCTAGCAAAAAAATGGTTTGTTGGAGGTTGGAAGTAGGAGGGTTCTTAAAACCAAAGTTATAGAAATTCCGAGGTGTATTGAATGTGACGTGAGAGTAAACAGATGTTTCATGCAGCGAGTCGATAACTGCACTATAAAAGACCTCGGTGCCCCCGGATTTGTCTAAAAGGTAAGGTCTCCTTGTATGCTGTATTTTTGTACCGGTAAATTTCAGGGGAAAAAATCGGGTAAGGTTTTGAAATTGACGCTCTGTTCAGCTAAAGCGATGACTTCAATAGAACTTTAGCTCAATTTAGCTAACGTAGTCTTTTGTTTTTAGCTAGCGTAATTATGCTACATTATGCTGTAATAACGCGTTTGTGTGTCTTCATGGCCGTTACTGTCCTGTCCGTATGACTACGTACACAAGGACAGACAGTCTTCAAATGAAGAATTAATTTAGTGTATTATATATATTCCATACTTTCTTCAGTCCTCACAACTTAAAACAGGTGATGACAACTGCTAGCTTGAGCGATCTATATGTCATGTTAACATTTGATTTATGTTAAAGGGAGATACATTATCCTACTAAAATATATTTTATAATGGTGTAAGTAGACTTATGTTTTTCGTAAACCAATATGATTACACTCCATTTTCATTATTAATTATTTTGCTTGAAAATATCCAACACCTTTCTCCATTTATGTAACATTTCTTATTTTTGCACTTCTGCTTTTATCTGTTTGACAGATTCACATTAACACAATGGTGTCTTACAAGAAGCTGAACCCTGAAGATGTCCAATTTTCCAGTGCAAGTTTATCAGAGGAATCTCATCCAGCTCAAGAGGAGGTTGCAGTGAGTTCATATAGACTCTCTTTAACAGCTTTAATAACAGGACTTTTTTAACTGTCTGCTTGTGACCCGCTTAAATTACTGTCACTGGAAACTCCAAAGGTTTTGATGGTGTAATCAAAACTCTTACTAGATTTAATTTTGGTAATCGGTACCAGCAGTCCTTTCTTCTATCTTATCTACGAATGGTGTTCCTATTGAGTTTGTCGATTCTTACAAATACTTGGGAATCTTGGTCAATGCACATCTCCCTTTTAGTCCTCATGTTGAAAAGTTGGTAAAGAAACTGAAAGTTAAATTGGGTTTCTTTTGCAGGAATAGATCCTGTCTAACTCTGAACACTAGGAAACACCTTGTAACTGCAAATGTCCTTCCCTCCATTGACTACGCTGTCATTAGTTACATGAATGCTCCTACAAACACCTTACAGATGTTGGACGCTGTCTATCACGGTGCGCTAAGATTCATAACTGGCTGTAACTACCATACCCACCATTGCACCCTGTATTCATTGGTCAACTGGTCATCATTAACTACATACAGTCTCTCTCACTGGTACATTTTCATCTTTAAATCACTTCTTGGTCTTCTGCCTTCTTACATCTCCACCTACATGTCACTGCATGAGTGCAGCTACGCGTGCACTTTCAGGACATTATTACATCCAGTGTACCCTCATTGCGGACCGAACTAGGCAAAATGGCCTTCTACTCCGCTTCTATAACCTGGAATATTTTGCAAAAAGATCTGAAGTTCTCGGCTTTGACCTCTCTAAGGGATTTTAAACAATTGTTAAGTTCACTGCAAAAATCAATGCAGAGACATGTTCCCGTTTTTAGTATTTTACACTGTTTTATAAAGTAGCATGTTTATTTAGTTTGCTTTATATCTCTTCTTTCATTTACTTTTCATTTTTCATGATTTTATATGAACGTTTATTGCTATATGTACCTCATTTGTGCTCTTTGTCTAAATCAGGTCTCTGTTGTAAATGAGTCCTCGTGACTCAATGAGACTAACCTGTATAAATACAAGCTAAATGGAAAAAAATAACTAGGATTACACACACATATTGAGTGAATAAACAGAACACATTGAATACTTAGGGTCACTCATTAAATCATTGTCCAAGAAGAGATGTTTAACCTTTACTGAATACTTAAGCAGTTAGCTGAACTGAAAGAAGGAACGCTTCCTCTTTTCAAAAATTTTTTTTTCCACACTAGAAGTGGTCCGACTGTTTTAAACATATAGTAGAAGTAAAAGGCTTGTCTTTGCATCACATGTGAAAACAGATTAATTAAGGTAGCAGTGTTTCCCCTAGTTAATTTGCCATGGCGGGGTGCTCATCTCTTCCATGATTTTTGTTGATGGGGGGACGGACACTTGTCTGAGCGCAGCTTGTACAAACAGTTTTTAAGTGGGGGCGGGGGGCGTTCAGCATGAGGGAAGAGGCAACGTGAGTGCTGCCTTTAGCTTTTTAGCTAGAGAACCTGTATTTTGCGCCACTAGCTTAGTGCTATGTCAGTGCCGGGTGGGCGGGCAAGTTTGGTTTGGTAGGCAGGGAGCTCAGTTCTGTTGATGGGGTGGGGTACTCTGCTTGTATAATGGTAGGGGAAACACTGGGTAGTTTTAACTGACGCAGTCAGGGGCAGAATGGTGGCGCAGTAAGTTGGAAGAGCTGTTTGCCTCTCAGTGAGAAGGTCGCCGATTCAAATCCTGACCTGGGACCTGTCTGGGTGGAGTTTGCACGTTCTCTCCATCCATGTGTGGGTTTTCTTTGGGTACTCCCGTTTCCTCCCACAGACCAAAAATATGCAAGTTAGGCTGACTGGTAACTCTAAAATGTCCCTATGTGAGAGAGTGAATGATTGTTTGTCTGTGATGGACTTGAGACCTCTCCAGGGTGTCTCCTACCTCTCACACAGTGACTGCTGGATATGGACACCAGTGACCCTAAAAGGAAGAAGCAGTTAAAAGATAATGGACGGATGGAAGATGCAGTCAGAGATGTGCTGATTGTGCTCGTTCTTTAATTTTCAGGTGCCAGAGCAAGAGAGCGCTTCCTTGATCCCACGTTGGTCGTCGCGCTTCGCCACCACAGCTGTGGTGATAACTGGCTGCCTCCTGTTGATTCTTGGTGGAGGCTGGCTGCTGCACACGATATACTGGCTGCACAGTCCATCCAGCCAGCAGTCGCATAGACCTCCACCTCCAGCTCAAGGGCAAGCATCATACTCCATTTTACCAGGAGAACTGAACAGCACTGCTGCTGCTTCTCGCAACGAGGCCTGCCGTTTAATCCCAGAGGCGTGGAGGTTTGATTGTTACCCTGAAAGAGGGGCTGTTGTGACCCAAGAGTTGTGTGAGGCAAGAAACTGTTGCTTTATCCCTGCTTCCTCTTCCACTGCTCGCTCATCACGGAAAAAGGGTATTCCCTGGTGTTTCTATCCTTTAAATTTCCCTTCCTACTCCCTGGCATCACTCAATGACACAACAACGTGCCTCAAGGGCATGCTCGTAAAGGAGGTGAAGACTTACTACCCTGGAGACATCCTCACATTACAAATGGAGATACGACCCGAGACAGACACACGACTGCGTGTCAGGGTGAGTAGAGAATTCAGTCATTTAAACCAGTGAACGATTCAACTCCTCAGTCTGCCATAACAGCTTTGACCTGTTGAGGCTTGTACAGGAGGATTTTGGGATTCTTTTGGGCCATTGGCAGGTTATATATTTTTCTATCAGTGGATACCTGAGTAGAACATCTGTAGGTATTGCATCTTTGCAGGTCCCTCATTAGATTTAAAAATCCAAATTCATGAGTTTTTTCTTGATTCTTTTGAGCCATTTTGAAGGAGTGCTGTTGACAACTAAGGGTTATCTACAACAAATTTTTTGGTACATACAGAAAACAAAATAACACAAAGTTGTTATGGTATTAGCAGAAATATTCTGATGATTTGGAGAAATACTTGTGACATCTAATACTTTTCAATTCAGTTTATTTATATAGCACCAAGTCATAACAGAAGTTGTCTCGGGGCACTGAACAGAAACATTCATATATAAAAATAGCAAGTTAACGTTATTTATCTGAGGAGCAGACTGCTTTGAGTTTAACTCCATTGCAGACTCTCATCTTGAGCAAGCATGAAGGCGACTGTGGAAAGGAAAAACTCCCTCATGTGGTAGAAACCTTTAGCAGAACCAGACTCAGGACAAGTGGCCATCTGCTTCGACCGGCTGGGGTTTGAGAGGAATAAGAAGGAGGAACAGATACACAATGGCAGGTCAAGAATCATGTTAAGATAGAAATAGTATCAAATGAAAACTATTCAATTTTAGCAATTGATTTAAGAAAATGAGGTTAATTTGTCCTCCAGTAGTCTAATCCTGTGGCAGCATAAACCACCCCTAATTAAAAGGAAAGTCTTAAAACTGGACAATGTGTCAGCCTCACAGACAGAAACTGAAAGTTGGTTCCACAAGAGAGGAGCCTGATAACCGAAAGATCTTCCTCCCATTCTGCTTTTGGAAAATCTAGGAACCGCGAGTAAGCCTGAAGTCTGAGAGCGAAGTGGTCTGTTAGGAAAATATGTGACAATAAGATCTGTAATATAAGATGGAGCTAGGTTGTTGAGAGCTTTGTAGGTTAGAAGTAAGATTTTGAATTCAATTCTGGATTTGACAGGGAGCCATTGGAGAGAAGCTAAAACTGGAGATAAATTATCTCTCCTACTAACTCCAGTTAAGATTCTGGCAGCAGCATTTTGGATCAACTGAAGACATTTTACAGAAGTATTTGGACACCCAGATAACAAACCATTGCAGTAGTCCAGTCTAGACGTGACAGATAACAAACCATTACAATCGTCCAGTCTAGACGTGACAGATAACAAACCATTACAATAGTCCAGTCTAGACGTGACAGATAACAAACCATTACAATAGTCCAGTCTAGACGTGACAAATGCATGAACCAGTTTTTCTGCATCATTTTTATTTAAGATGTTTCTAATATTAGTGATATTACGCAGGTGGAAGAAGGCGGTTCTAGTAACATTTTTAATGTGGGAGCTAAAAAAACATGTCCTGATCAAAAATAACACCAAGATTTTTAACATTAGAGCTGGAGGCCAGATTTATGCAATCCAAGGAGGGCGAAAGACAAAAAAATGTATTCATAAGATGCTCAGGTCCAAAAACCAAAACCTCAGTCTTGTCTGTGTTTAAAAGCAGAAAATTTAGTGTCATCCACTTTTAAGTCATGCTTGTAGTCTAAATAGCTGACTGGATTAATTGGGTTTCATGGAGTAATATAACTATGTATCATCCGCATAACAATGAAAAATTATCTCAGACTGTTTAATAACTTTACCTAATGCAAGCATATACAAGGTAAAGAGTATTGGTTCAAGCACTGAACCTTGAGGAACTCCATGACTAACTTTGGTGTATGATGAATATTCATTATTTACATTTACAAATTAGAATCTATCAGCTAAATATTATTTAAACCAATTTAGAGCCGTTCCTGTAATTCCAATATCATATTCAAGTATCTGTAATAGAATATTATGATCAACTGTATCAAATGCAGCACTGAGGTCTAACAGGACCAGTGCAGACCCCTGTACATTGTCAGAGGCCATGAGAATATCATTAGTAACTTTCACCAGTGCAGATTCAGTGCTGTGGTGAGCTCTAAACCCTGACTGAAACTCTTCAAACAGATTATATGATTTTCCTAATACTTCTCAACAGAGATTACCTCAAATGACATTAATTCTCCTTACAAGGTCACTTGACAAATAAAACAAAACATTTGTCTCTATCTGTCCCTGTGATGGATTGGAGCTCTGTCCAGGGTATACCCCTCCTCTCCCACAGTGACTGCTGGATATGAGCACCAGTGACCCCTGCGACCTGGAAAGGATGAATCGGGTAAAGATAATGAATGGACAATGTGATACTTTTACCAGTGTAATGACCCTATTTCACGAGACTCCAAATCAGTGTAAACTTTGTTCCCAGCTTCTGTTGCACTAACTTTAAATGTGTTGTAAGAACAGGATCTTTCTTGATTGCTCATCATCTTTATCACACAAACGTTTGCTTAGTGATAATTTACTTAAAAGAGGTTACAAAAAGAGTTCAAAGATTAAGCTGTGCCCTTATACCTCATTCTCTGTGGCAGTTTTTTTTTTTTTAGTAAATGAAATGGGTTTTGTTTCTTTGTGGAGCAGATGATTGCTTTTCCACAACATATGCTGTGAATTCTCTCCAGTATATAAATTTTCACAAACTGTTCTCAATGCAGATAACTGACCCCTCAAGTCCACGGTTTGAGGTTCCGATCTCTGTCCCTACCTCTACCAAGAAGGCCAAAAACACGGAGTACATCACAGAGTTTTCAAAGCATCCGTTTGGTCTCATCGTGAGGAGGAGATCTACAGGAGTCGTGCTGTGAGTTTGACTCCAATAAGAAACTTTGAATTAGTTGACGCGAAGCTTAGGAAATACTGGAGTTAGCTCTCTCTTGATACAAGAAGAGAGGCTCAAAGTAAAAAAAAAAAGTTGGATAGCACTATTTTACACCAATGTTACATCTTAGTGCAGCTGGATTTACATTTCAGTGGAGTGGATCCACTATGTACTAGCCTTTAAACTCATTTTTTATATATAAATTACACAAAATTGTATAAATAATTTAAATCCTCTGCTCTTCTTGTTTTTAGTCTGAACACCACAGTGGCTCCTCTCATTTATGCGGATCAGTTCCTTCAGTTTTCCACCTCTCTGCCCTCTCAGTTCATTTACGGCCTGGGAGAGCACCGCTCCACCTTTTTGCATGATGTCCACTGGAACACCCTCACCATGTGGGCCAGAGATGTCCCCCCGATGGTAATCACAGTATTCATTGTTCTCGTTACACTTTTTGCCCTGTTGTAACAGCAATGGTATCTACAGTCCACAAAGCAGAGATAATTTTTTTGTTTGTTTTGTTAAACATTGTTTAAAAATGGGGTAAAAGTCCAGTTTAAAGTTATTGGCATGTGGCCGAGTGTCAGTGTCAATGCTGGAAAATTCATGTTGTAAGAAAATCTGCAAAGGCCTCTCATGAAAAAATCTGCTTGATTTATTTAATTGATTTACCACTCAATGTGTGGCTTTTATAGCTTCTGACTTGACTGGAAATATTTATTATTATTCATAAAATGTCATTAAAGGAAACAAGGTGTACAGTAGTCCATCACTACTTCGCGGTTCGTTTTTCACGAACTCGCTCTATCGCGGTTTTTCAAAGTAAGATTGGACATGACACACAATTGGCTGATTGATGGATGAGCTGCACGATTGGCATGGATTTTTTTATTTAAAATAAATTGTTTTAAATTATTTTGCACCTGTGTGCAGCCCACAGCTGTGGGAGAAGCTTCCTCCTGCAGCTGATCAGCTGAGCAGAGAAGTGGGCGTTGCCGAGAGTCCAGCCGGAGGCAGGGAGCTGAAATCATGACATTCTGTGCTCTTTTAGAGCGTTTAGAGTTGTATTTTTTTTCTGCCATACAGGAACAGGCAAACCTGTACGGAGTCCACCCATTTTATCTTGCAATGGAAGATGGAGGGAACGCACACGGCTTCTTCCTGCTGAACAGTAACGCAATGGGTCAGTCTGATGATCGTCTGGTTTCAAGTCTAAATGTGGGCTGAAATAAAAAAAACACTGCTGCTAATAATGCACATCAGCAGCTGATTAAGAAATCTGGGGTTCATATTTTCAGTATTTTACAATCCTTCAGATTGAAACTGCTGACAAAAGTAGGAAACCAAAGAAAAGCAGAAGTTTTAAGTGAACGTTCCTGTGAGTAACTGGCTCACCAAGAGTCCAGTGTTTAGGGTGAACTTATGAAGCTGCACGCATAAAGCTGTTTGTTTTTGCCTGGTCTGTCTTTAACAAATAAAACTGAAATGTACATTGTATTCATATTTATTCTTAAAGCACTGTTCTTTGCATTCAGTTTTGCAATAGATGTGTAAGTAAACTTATTAGCTTGTCCATTGTGTTCACTTTTTTCTTTTTTAAGATGTGGCCCTCCAGCCCGGCCCGGCCCTCACCTGGCGCACTATCGGTGGAATCCTTGACTTTTATGTTTTTCTCGGTCCTGATCCCAGTTCAGTGGTTGAACAGTTTGTGGGCGTTATAGGTCAGTGAGTGTGCTGAATGTATGCAGCAGCACAATTAATATTACTGTATAACTCAGTAGTTAGGAACAATAGTTAAACAACATCTGTCGCATCAATTATTATTATTATTATTTCTTGAGATGGCAAGTTGTTCTTCATCCTTCTGGTTTTTTTTTCCAGGCCACCCACTCATGCCCATTTACTGGGCTTTAGGGTACCACCTGTGTCGCTGGGGCTATGGCAGCAGTAATTCTACCTGGGAAGTTGTTAAGAAGATGAGGAATTATGGAATACCTCAGGTGATTTTTTTTTCTTTCCACATGGACTCATCTAGCACAAACTGGTGCCAGTGGGGTCAAATATATGATTTATTTTGTGCACTTTGTCATTAAATCATAGTTATCAGATCCCTCTTTTAATGCTGTATTTAAAGTAGACATAATAAATTGCAACGCTTCTTGTTTTCTCCTTAGTTTTAAACATTTCATCATCATTCCATTTATCATATTTATTGCTGGAACTTATCTGAGCCAACTTAAAAGTTTCCACCTTTTATGTGGATTTAAACAAAGATGTCGACCACAGCATAAGTTTGTGATAACCTCTGTTTTAACGGTGCGTTTGTTTGGTTTCAGGATGTCCAGTGGAATGACATTGACTACATGGACCAGGCCAAGGACTTCACGTTTGATCAAACAAAGTTTGACACGCTTCCTGACCTTGTTAAAGACCTGCACACTCACAACCAGACCTACGTCATAATCGTGGTACACAGAAGTTTGTATCTCCTATCACGCGTTTTGTGTTTCATTTGATGCGCTTGTCTTAGCGGGTTTTCCTCGTCCGGCTGCAGGACCCAGCTATCAGCAGCACACAACCCGAGGGATCGTACTGGCCTTTCGATGAGGGACTGAAGAGAGACGTTTTTATCAAAGACTTCAAGGGGAAAACACTTTTCGGGAGGGTGAGACAAGTTTCAGTTTAACATGAGCGAGATTTTTTTTTTCTTTCTCTGAGGAGGGATTTCTCATTCACCTGTTTTCTGCTGTTTCTTGGAGGCAAAAACAAAAAAAAAGGCTAAAGTGCAGCTTTAGTTCAGATAGAGTTTAAAGCTGAAATTTGTGATTTGTGTTTCAGAGCTTAGATTGAATGGAATGAGATAACAGAAGTGATTTGGTAAAAATATTAAGTATTGCTTCATAAATATGCATTAAACCAGGTCTTTAAAACTAAATTGCTCAGGGGGCCACAATTACTGAAAGCCAAGCGCTCAGGGGACGGACATCCAGCAGTTCTTGTCATTAATTGTTTGTTTTATGGTTTAAAATCTAGTTTTATGTAAAAATGAACCCATTCGTTGGCCGAACTGAGTTCATCCGTGGGCCTGATTTGGCCCCCGAGCCGCCAGTTGAATAACCCTGCACTAAACTGTTAGTCACAAACACTGATAAGTTCAAATGTACAGGTCCTTCTCAAAAAATTAGCATATTGTGATAAAGGTCATTATTTTCCATAATGTAATGATAAAAATGAAACTTTCATATATTTCAGATTCATTGAACACCAACTGAAATATTTCAGGTCTTTATTTGTTTTAATACTGATGATTATGGCATACAACTCATGAAAACCCAAAATGCCTGTCCCAAAAAAATTTGCATATGATGAAAAGGTTCTCTAAACAAGCTATTAACCTAACCATCTGAATCAACGACGTAACTCTAAACACCTGCAAAAGATTCCTGAGGCTTTTAAAAACTCCCAGCCTTGTTCATTACTCAAAACCGCAATCATGGGTTAGACTGCCGACCTGACTGCTGTCCAGAAGGCCATCATTGACACCCTCAAGCAAGAGGGTAAGACACAGAAAGAAATTGCTGAACGAATAGGCTGTTCCCAGAGTGCTGTATCAAGGCACCTCAGTGGGAAGTCTGTGGGAAGGGAAAAGTGGCAGAAAACGCTGCACAACGAGAAGAGGTGACCGGACCCTGAGGAGGATTGTGGAGAAGGGCCGATTCCAGACCTTGGGGGACCTGCGGAAGCAGTGGACTGAGTCTGGAGTAGAAACATCCAGAGCCACCGTGCACAGGCGTGTGCAGGAAATGGGCTACAGGTGCCGCATTCCCCAGGTCAAGCCACTCTTGAACAAGAGACTGCGTCAGAAGCATCTCGCCTGGGACTGCTGCTGAGTGGTCCAAAGTTATGTTCTCTGATTTCAGTAAATTTTGCATTTCCTTTGGAAATCAAGGTCCCAGAGTCTGGAGGAAGAGAGGAGACACAGAATTCACATTGTTTGAGGTCCAGTGTCAAGTTTCCACAGTCACTGGGGTGTCATGTCAGCTGCTGGTGTTGGTCCACTGTGTTTTATCAAGGGCAGGGTCAATGCAGCTAGCTATCAGGAGATTTTGGAGCACTTCATACTTCCATCTGCTGAAAAGCTTTATGGAGATGAAGATTTCATTTTTCAGCACGACCTGGCACCTGCTCACAGTGCCAAAACCACTGGTAAATGGTTTACTGACCATGGTATTACTGTGCTCAATTGGCCTGCCAACTCTCCTGACCTGAACCCCATAGATAACCTGTGGGATATTGTGAAGAGAAAGTTGAGAGACGCAAGATCCAACACTCTGGATGAGCTTAAGGCCGCTATCGAAGCATCCTGGGCCTCCATAACACCTCAGCAGTGCCACAGGCTGATTGCCTCCATGCCACGCTGCATTGAAGCAGTCATTCATGCAAAACGATTCCCGACCAAGTATTGAGTGCATAACTGAACAAGATTATTTGAAGGTTGGTGTTTTTTGTATTAAAAACACGTCTTTCATTGGTGGGATGAAATATGCTAATTTTTTGGGACAGCCATTTTGGGTTTTCATGAGCTGTATGCCATAATCATCAGTATTAAAACAATTAAAGACCTGAAATATTTCAGTTGGTGTGCAATGAATCTGAAATATATGAAAGTTTCATTTTTATCATTACATTATGGAAAATAATGACCTTTATCACAATATGCTAATTTTTTGAGAAGGACCTGTAGTATACTAGTATAGTGTAGTTGTACACTAGTATACAGTATAGTGTAGTTGTACA